CGCCGCCGGACGCGGGGACGGCGAGGCCCCTTCGCCGTGCCCCGCACCCCCGGGCCGGGTGGCTTGAGCCGCCCCGAGCCCCCTCGCCACGCCTCACGCCGGTTCCCGGTGTTCTCCGGTCCCCTCGCCGTGTCCCGCACCCACCCGCTCGCGGGGCTTCCCGTCCGCCTCGCCGTGCCCGCACCCCCGGTTCAGGGTGCTGCGAGCACCCCAAGCTCGCCGTGCCCGCACCCCCGGTTCAGGGTGCTGCGAGCACCCCAAGCTCACCGTGCCCGCACCCCCGGTTCAGGGTGCTGCGAGCACCCCAAGCTCCTCGCCGTGCCCGCACCCCCGGGCAGGGTGCTGACAGCACCCCAAGCTCCTCGCCGTGCCCGCACCCCCGGGCAGGGTGCTGCGAGCACCCCAAGCTCCTCGCCGTGCCCGCACCCCCGGTTCAGGGTGCTGCCAGCACCCCAAGCTCCTCGCCGTGCCCGCACCCCCGGTTCAGGGTGCCCCGAGCACCCCAAGCTCCTCGCCGTGCCCGCACCCCCAGTTCAGGGTGCTGCGAGCACCCCAAGCTCCTCGCCCTGCCCGCACCCCCAGTTCAGGGTGCTCCGAGCACCCCAAGCTCCTCACCGTGTCCCGCACCCCTGGTTCAGGGTGCTGCGAGCACCCCAAGCTCACCGTGCCCCGCACCCCCGGTTCAGGGTGCTGCGAGCACCCCAAGCTCCTCGCCGTGCCCGCACCCCCGGGCAGGGTGCTGCGAGCACCCCAAGCTCACCGTGCCCCACACCCCCGGGCAGGGTGCTGCGAGCACCCCAAGCTCCTCGCCGTGCCTGCACCCCCGGTTCAGGGTGCTGCCAGCACCCCAAGCTCCTCGCCGTGCCCGCACCCCCGGGCAGGGTGCTGCGAGCACCCCAAGCTGCTCGCCCTGCCCCCACCCCCAAGCCGGGTGCTGCGAGCACCCCAAGCTCCTCGCCGTGCCCGCACCCCCGGGCAGGGTGCTGCGAGCTCTCCTGAGACTCCTTGCGGTGCCCCACATCCCTGGCCTAGGTCCTCCCCAGTCTCCTTGCGATGTCCTGCAGCCTCAACCTTCTGGAGAAGCCCCGCACGCCTGGCCTGGGTCCTCCCCGCCCTTCCTCTCCATGCCCCGCACCCCGTCGCCGTGCTTCCTGCCCCCTTTGCAATGCCCCACAGCCCCGGTTCGGGTGCTCGGAACATCCCTGAGCCCCCTTGCGATGCCCGCA